TCTATTAGTTTTTTAATCAAATATTGTATTACTATTTTAGTGATCACCCTAGAGATTGCAGTATGCTTCCTTCACTTATTATAGGCCACTTAATAAGTGCAAAACCTTGTAATGGTGCAACTCCATGAAGCATTTTCTCTTCTACCTAATGAACTCCTGAGGTCATGTTTGCATGTTTTAGGACCCTCAAGATATTGATTTTTGTTTTTAGCAGTACTGGGGATTAAACTCGGGGCCTTACTCTATTAGGCAAATGCTCTACAATTGACCTACATCCCATCCCCAGCTCCACTCTGTTATTTTTTTGGTTTGGTTTGGTTTTTAATATTTTTTAGACATTGATGGAGTTTTTCATTTATTTTTATGTGGTGCTAAAGATCAAAGCCAGTGCCTCACATGTGCTAGGCAGGCACTCTACCACTGAGCCATACCCCAGCCCCCACTCTGTTCATTTAAATGAGCAATATTAATTCATATTTATTCATACTCATGTTCTTAGTTTCTTCCTATGTTGTCTTATTGTATCCAAAAATCACTTTCCTTTAATCTGAATAATTTCTGTAGAATAGGTATTTCTTKTAGGATAGTCTACTGGTTATAAATTTTGTCAGCTTGTTTGTCTGCCTTCATTTTCACATGGTTAGTATTTTTTTTTTTTTATCTATTTCACCTGCGACTAATATAGTATAAGGTCCCTGGATTCTGTTGTGTTTCTCTGAAAAGTGCTAGGTTTTGTTCTAATAGGCAAGAAGTCATTGCTGGCTGGTCTAGAACTTTTTTGGTTTTGTAGAACAGGTCTTTTTGATTTTATTCCAGGATGATGACTTTCCTCCTAAGGTGTGGCAAAAAWATATATATATATCTGAGAAAATMTGAGTGGAAAATCTGAGATTTTTACCAAGTCCCCCTAACCTGGAGCAACTCAATTTCCAAACTCTGTTCTCCTTCAGTGGGTGTCACTGAAATCTCTGCTACTCTCCAGATTTCTAGCTATTCTCTCCCCACTCCTAAAGTCTCACTCTAAGTATATACCTTACAGGCATCAGCCAAGGATTTGGGCTTCCCCCTTCTATGGTCCCTTTTTCTCTGAGGTGTCTCCAACCTCTATTTCCAGTGTTCAGATTTCCTCAAACCCCCACCACTCCCCAGATCAACAGACTGAGGCTTTCTGCTGGTCTCATCCACTCCACGCCACATGGACTAGATCTCTTCAGTGGGGCTCAGGAAGAGAGATCAGGGGGATCACACAGAAGTAACACCAGAGCTATAACTTGGAGACCTTAGCCAAATGGAAAGATGAGGGGGTTCCAGGCAAGAGGGAGGACAGCTGTATCTAGGCCCGGGGCCCCCAGCATGCGACTGCTACAGGTGGAAGGAAGAACAGATGGTACAATAAGCAATGAGCCAGAAGCCTGGGCCTAACGTGAGCTCTGTGATTTAGCTTCTGTGTGACTTATTCCCTGCCTCACCTTCCTCATCTCTGTTGGGAATAGTAGTGCTACCCCCCAGAATCACTGCAAGGTCTAAATTAATGAATATGTAGCAACAACACAGGACCCAGTCTTCCTGCAGTCAGCACACAGTCCCCTCCCCTCCTGTCACTTCCAACACTATGACCCCTTGACATGTACTGTGCAGCAGCCCTGGCTTGGCAGAGTTCTGACATGCTCCCAGTTGGTACCTATCTCCTCCTACCTCATTCCTACCCCTTCCCTTCATGTCATGTGCTAGGAATGAAACAGGCCAATGGCAGAGCCCTGGGCTGCTGCCCAGTTCCCTTAGAGTAGCCCATAATACTACCTCAGCACTTAGAAGAATGTGGAGTTCACATTTATGGCCTTGCTCCTGTCACAGGATGGCCTCTTCCCTGTGAATCACTTTCCTCCAACATCAGGGTGCAGGCTGGGGTTGTAGCTCAGTGGTACAGCACTTGCCTAGCACGWGTGAGGCAGTGGATTCAATCCTCAGTACCACATAAAAATAAATAAATAAGTAAAACAACAACAAAATCAGGGTATACTTGTAAGCAAACTCGTTCACAAACCCTAGGTATTTCTACAAGTATCCTGGAGTAAAGATCAGGAGCTCAGGTATTTACCTGGATCAAAGAAGCTGCTAAAAATAGAAAGCTTAAAATGGAAGTCCTCTGTTCCTGCAGATGCTGAGGCAGCCTCTGCCCAACAAGCAAGGCCAGCCTGACCTCATCTTGGGAGCAAAGAGCAGGAGCATTTCTCTTTGCCAGCTGGTCTAAGTCCTGCACCTGAAAACACTGCTTGTCCCTACTCCCACCCCACGGATTCCCAGAACAATCACAATAGTGAGTACATGTATTATAAAAATAAGTTAACATGAARTCAATGTACTTTAACTTCTGGGTGCATGATAAACGCTCTTGCAATGCAGGGTGCTATGTGGAGGCGGGGCTCTGCCTGGCTTGGGAGGGTCCCTAGTGTGATGCATATGCTACACAGAGCTGGGCTGTGAGGGACACCTTATTCTTTTTTTTTTTTTAATTTTTTATTTTTTAGTTGTAGTTGGACATAATACCTTTATTTTATTTATTTTTATGTGGTGCTGAGGATCGAACCCAGGACCTCGCACGTGCTAGGTGAGTGCTTTGCCACTGAGCCACAACCCTAGCCCGGGACACCTTATTCTGTGGCACAGGATGAGCCTTCCATCCTAGGGATGGCACACTGGGCTCCCACAGGCAGCCACCTGCTTCTGGCAAGCAGCAGCATCTGAAGCTGCAAGGTACCTGGCCTCGAGGTGTCCCTGCACCAGACTGGCTTGGCAGCTTGGGACAGGACTGCCCCCACTGCCAGATGCTCCTGACCCTAACTCTGACTCCAGCTCTGCTGGCAGCTTCACAGACCCAGTCTGAGCTGTGGCCAAAAGGGAACCAAAGAGAACTCTTAAGAGTGTTCCTATCTCATTCTGGGCACCCTATGTCTCAGTAGAGTTCAACCCACCATGTCTGAAAGCACCCCCACATCCCCTAGGGCAGGGTGGAAACCACAGGGGCACAGGAGGCCCTGGCTCACTGACAGCACTCAGACACATGCCTGAGGAATTTTTCACCCTGCGTGTCACTGAAGTAGCCCAGGCAGCGGGGGCACTGAAGGTCACCCCGTCCTCTGTGAGCTGTGCTGGGGCACACGTCCTCTGCAGGAGACTCCAGCTGTGGGGACCCAGGCCCAGGCCTCCAGCCACCAGGTGCCCCAAGCTCCAACACATCGGTCTCTAAGTACTTGGCAGTTCTGCTCCTAGTATGAATCCGGCAGGGGCCTTCCTCCTGGGTGTCCTGCAGAAAAGGCAAAGATCTGTTCACAGGACCTGTGCTGGAGGCCACAAAGCCAGGCCTTGGGTTCTAGCCACTAGAGATATTAAATTTATTATTTTTTTTAAGAGAGAGAGGGAGGGAGGGAGGGAGAGAGGGAGAGAGAGAGAGAGAATTTTTTTTAATATTTATTTTTTAGTATTCGGTGGACACAACATCTTTGTATGTGGTGCTGAGGATCRAACCTGGGCCGCTACCGCTTGAGCCACATCTCCAGCCCAGAGATATTAAATTTAAATGCCATAGCCCGAACCCAGATAAGGAGGTGCTCAGCAAGTAACTGAAGAGGTCCCACATAGGCTCCCTCGTGGGCTCAGGAAGKAACAGCCCGAGTGGGGTTCACTCCCCACCCTACACTGGAAGGCCTGAAAGGACCATGAGCCCCAGGAGACCTGATCCAGAAGGTGGCCTTGGGAACAAGCCCCATGTACCACCGTGGAGTAGTAGCAGCAGAACTCATGGTGGGGAGGCAGCAAACTAAGGCCAGTCCTTCTCTCGACCTCCCTTAAGAGGCTTGGGATGCTGTGCAGACTGAGCCCCAGAGGGCTTCCAGCAGCACAGGGGTGTGTCCTTGGCTCAGCCTCAAAACTTGTTGGCATAGCCTGGTGTGGCCTGACACATGTTCCAGATAACTGCCATGAACTCGGCAGCTTGCAGAGCCCATGTAGCACCTGCATACTTCATTGCTGGTGACCACCAGCCCCACCAGAAATCCTGCCCTTGGGGCTGAGCAGGAATCCCTTGGAGAATTCAGATCAGGCAAACCTGGAATTGGCTCCACTATTTGAGAGGCTGCCTGACAGGCCACTTGGGGCCATCTTTGTGACTGCACCATTATCAGCCCTTTAATCCAAATCACATACCTTCAGGAAGGCCAGAAAAYCCACAGACAAAACCAAATCCCAGGAAAGCCCACAGACAAAAACAAAGGTCAGCAAAAGATGCTCCCCTTCCTGCCCATACAGCATGCTAGAGGGTCCCTTCCTAGTACTACAATACCCTGTTTTAGAAGAACCAGGAATTGGAGGGTGGGGAACACTCCAGCTGCATTATGTGAGGCCAGGTTGGCTGCTGGGGCTGGGCAGGGGCTCTGGGGAGCCTACTGTGGCTGGTGAAGCCTTCTATACCACCCTGTTGGTCTGTGAACTTAGGAGGGGAACGTAGGTCTCCATTATTTATAAGTAGGACTGGCGACTGCATCCAGGACCCCTGCTGTAGTCTTAGTCCAAGGGTGTTAAAGAAATGGTATCCTTCACGACTCCCCTATGCCCCTTGTGCAGGGGAAGGGAAGCAGAGGCTGTCAGCCAATGAGATCCAGCAGCTGCTCAGCACAGAGCACTGTGGGTATTCCTCATGTCCCCCAGGTCCTGCTCATGATTTTCCAAGGGGGGCACTTTCAAGGCCAGCTCTGGCTTGGAGTGCACTGATTTCTGAAGGCATTGCTAGTATCCAGTATGTCAAGACAGGAAGTTCTTTGAGGGAGCACAGTTTGCCCCAGGATAGAGTGTATTAGATACAAAGTGGCTAAAGACAAATACCTCTCCTGGGATTTTGTGGAGCATGAGTCTATGGAGGGAGAGGTTAAGAGGTTCTGTTGGTTATAACTCACACCAGGCCTCTCCAGGCCTGGTGTGGGGACAGCACTGAGCCCAGCACAGTGGCTATGCTGGAGGACCTTACTGGACACTCAGGGTCTATGTCATACCTATGTGACCCATTAACTAGGGTCCCCACCTCACAGCAAGGACAGATATGCATGGAAAGTCTGGGGCCAGGACAAGCTCTCTAGCCACACCATAGCAATGCACAGGGAGACAGGATAGGCCTGGGGGCAGACTCCTCTGCTAACAAACCACCAAGCCAGCTGCTCCACAACTAAAGGAGCCCAGCAGGAGGTCTCTCAGGACTGAGCCCCAGGGCTCAGATGAGGCAGCTCTGCCTGACTCTGGTCACCAGCAAATCAGGGTCTCAGCAGACAGAGAGGCTTGAAGTTCATGAAGAAAAACAAAAATACTAGCCCTGAGGGGAGGAGACAGGCCCTTGCACCTACCTGTCTCTGGGAAGCYTTGTACAGCAAGGAAGTGACCTTCTCCTCCAGCTCCTGAATCCTGCTTTGAGCCCGTTCCCGATCTGCCCTTTCTGACGCGAAGTCATCCTTGTAAGCAAGAAGCTGAAAGGAGACAATATACTCATTTCTGCTCAGGAAGGAGACAGTCCTTGGCTGGCTTCTTCCAGTGCCCTCTGACTGCTGCCCACCCAGTGCCTCCAAGCCTTGACCCAGTCTGTCCTAAGACCATGGCTGCCACATGCAGCGTGTGTCTTGTTGGCGCTGCCTAGAGCCCATGGGCAGACACCTGCTGCTCCAGCATCTGCACTCGCTCCAGTGCGGAGTCCCGGGCCATCCTGGCAGCTGCCAGCTCCTGCTTCACTTCTGCACAGTCATTTATCTTCTCCTCCAACTGCCTGTTGAGCCGGGAGATCTCCTTCCTCATCAGTTCAGATTCCTGGTGGGCCTGCAGCCCCCTCAGCTGCACGTGGAGTTCCCTCACATACTCGTCCCGGCTGGCATCATAGCGCTGCCACTTGGCATTGAGGTCTTCCACCTGTGGGGGCAGAGCCAGGAGCTCACAGCACAGCCCTGAGGCGGCCAGCCAACTAGCAGCTAGCACAGAGGATTTAGAGCATAACTGGGGTGAGGCTCTCCTCTTAAATGGAAGTCACCTCCCTCTGTTTTGTGCAGGGGGACAACCAGAGAATCCTGAGACTCAACCTTTTTTTTTTTTTTAATTTTTTAATATTTATACTTTTTTTAGTTCTCGGCAGACACAACATCTTTATTGGTATATGGTGCTGAGGATCGAACCCGGGCCGCACACATGCCAGGCGAGCGCGCTACCGCTGAGCCACATCCCCAGCCCCGAGACTCAACCTTAAACAGAGTGGACATAGTACAGTTTTCCAGCCTTGAAAACAGGACTTCCAGACTGTAACTTGTGCTTCTTTATAGACTGGTGCATTAACTGTGGGGAGTGGCAGACAGGAAGTGTCCTGCATATCCTCTTGAGCAGCAAGTTCTGGTCTCTGGGGACAGCTGAGTGGATGGAGGGCAGGAGCAACTTCTGGGCAGAGGCCAAGGAGAGAACCCTCACCTGCCCTCTGTTAGGGTGAGGGATCTTCACAATGAAATGTCAAAGACACTCACATGAGTCACCTTCTGTTTCAACAGTCGATTTTCTTCCTGTAACTTCTCAACAGCAGCCTGATCCCCATCTGTATGCTCTGGCTGCATGAGAAAGGGAAAGAGGGAAGCCATGTTAGCACATGACTGACTCAGAGGCTGAGGCCACATATCATCACTGTCCTGCAGTATAGGAGGTGGTGACCACTTGCTTGACAGGAAGCTGCTGGTTCTAGCTCCCTGACCAGGCCCACTCCCCGCTAGGGCTGGGCCATGCCTTGGGCACCCTTGACACTGTCTCTATCCCATCCTGCCAACCAATGTGAGCTGTTCATATTTTAAACGTCCTACACCTAAATACTCTAAAGCCATAGTCTGAAGGCACTGGAATGCCAAATGAAATAAAACCCTCTGAGACTTGCCATMGTAACAGATAGCAGAGAGGACAGGAACCTTAATGCTGCTGTACACCAGAAGACCCCAGCAGGAGGGCGGGCCTGGCCATGGATCCAATTTATCCCCCTCCTGCCCAGTCAGATTCAAATGTGGACACAGCACCTAGCCCAGGCCTCATGCAGAGTCAAGGGGATTCAGTCACAGAATTATGTCCCAAAACAACCCCAAACAATAGCTAGAAGACCTAACTAAAAAGTCTCATGAAACCAATTTGTACTCTAGAAATTCTGTGCACTGGACAGTGGGCGACTGTATACCAGTGACGCAATTTTTCAAAATTCCCCAAATGACAGGAAATACATGTACTAACCCAGTCGGCACTGGGAAGCCCTGGTGACTCAGCTGAGTCCCAGGCTAAAAAGTGACACTGATTTAGAAACCAAGGAGATGCCTGCCCCCACCATCAGCCCCACACCTTCCCGAGCTGACCATCGTGTAGTTGCTTCAAGTCTCGAGAGGGAACGTCACTGTGACCAGAGCTGACTAAGAGCACCCGCTTCCTCCAGACGCCCCTCCCTTTGGGTTTCTGAAACACAGCTGCRTTCTTCCTGAGGTGCCCTTTATAGAATCCACCCACCAAGACAGGTGGTTCTCAGCARGTCTTCTCCCAGTGGGCACTATGGKGACACTACCCATAGCTGGGTGTCCTGCCTGCCCCAGTACTTACGTTTCTGTGTGAACCTGTAGCAGCCTCAGAGAACTGCCTGGAAAGGCCCTGAATGAGAGAGGCCTTGTGCTGGGGTGTAAGCTTCTGCCTTTCTGGGCACTCTGTGTCACCTGGACAAGGTGTACCCTGCGTGCCTATTCCCAGCGTCTTGTGGATCCCCACAACTCCCTAGTGGGAAGGACGACATGGACAGCACTGGCCTATAGCAGCTTCCGCCCATCAGGGGCCCCTCATTGGCTAGGTGTACCCCCCATAACAACCTTCTGGATGCTGAGATCCTCTGTCCTTGAGCCCCTTACCAAACCCTAACAAAGCCATAGCCAGACCTGGCCGGTTCTAGAAGAGCCACCAGCTCCACCTTGTGTGGTGCCCAGCTCAAGGTACAGTGCTGAGACACAGAGCTGCTCTATGTCCTGTAAATTGGTGGGAGGAGGAGTGTATCTCAGAATGGCCAGGTCTCCCAGCTGTGGGCATGAGGCCATGCTAGGGCAAGGATATGCCCAAAGCTAGCTCAGAGAGAGTACTGGCGCCGYACGACACCAGGGGGGCCAGCCTGGACCCACTCAAAGGCAGAGAGGCCAGCTCTTGTGGGCTTCTGCAGCCTCCAGCCTGACCCTGCCCAGTGGCATTTGGAGGCACTGCCCTCCCTAGCAGAATTGCCCACCTCTGCCTCAGTTGCACTGGCCTAACACATAATGATGCTTCTTCAGAGCTGCCCCATCCCAGCCCTTCCTCCCCATCCTCAGCGGGACAGAAGATGCTACAGGGCCATCTCTCCATCAGATCCAGGGTCAGCTGCAGGTAGTGTTGGGGCCTGGTAGGCATCCTGCCAAGTCCCTGGATGGGCCAGCTCCCCATTAGCCAGTCCTCCAAACTGAGAATAGAAGTGGGTTCAAGGCAACCCTGACCTCCGTGACTGCACAGGGACCCCAGGGGCGTGTGGACAATGCCTCTGCCCACCCCCACCCCGTCTTCACCTCAAGTGATTCACTGTGGCCCACCTCCTTCAGGCACTTCTCCCCCACGTCCCCCTGTGCATGTCGTTCATCCAGACACTTGGCCAGATGCTGGCACATGTGTGCAGTGGCAGCCAGCATCCTGCGTAACTGGTGGGTCTCGTCGGCCAAGGAGCGGCACAGCACATGGCTGGCGGCCCGGGCCTGTTCCTTCTCCAGCACACTCCTCCGCAACAGGACAAGCTCCTTCTCCCGGGCTTGCTGAGGCTGGCTCATCAGCTGCTGCATCTCCTTCTCTTTTTCTTCTAGTTTCTCAGTAAGTCTCTCAACTTCCTAAGTGGAAGATTTTAAAGCACAATTTAYTTGATTAAAAGAATAGCAAAAGCAAACATTGATAAAGCAAAAGAAAAGCTGACAAGGATCACCCAGCACTAGATGACACCTCTCAGAAGGGAGGCTTCTCAACCTGCATTGAGCATGCTCTTCTGAAACTTTATCTAAAAATCTGTTTTCACAAGGAAATTTTTAACTTTAGATTTTGCATCAACGAATTACTAAAAGTGGCTGGCTGGGCACAGTGGTGCAGGCCTATAATCCTTGAGACTTGGGAGGCTGAGGCAGGAGTACTGAAGTTCAAGGCCAGCCTGGGCAACTTAGCAAGACCCTTTCTCAAAATAAAAAATTAGAACAGGGGGTGTACWCAGTGGTAGAGCACCCCTGGGTTCAATCCCCGGAACCATAATCAATTAGGCAGGAAGAATAGGGAAATTAGGGTRCACACAGGAGAAGGCTGCAGGGAGACAAAGACTAGAGCCATGAATCTCTAGGCCCAGGAACACCGAGGACTGCAGCCACCACTGAGCCTGGGAGAGGTGGGGATGATCTTCCCAGTATCTTTGGAGAGAGCAGATGTCTTGATTTGGGGCTTCTGGCCTCCAGAACTATGGAAAGATTCAGTTTGTTTTGCTTTAAGCCCCCTGGTTTGTGGTGCTTTATTCTAGCAGCTTTAGAAAACTAATGTACTCGGGCTGGGGATGTGGCTCAAGCGGTAGCGCGCTCGCCTGGCATGCGTG